TAGCAAGGGAAAAAATAAAAAATAACTATATATTAATAAAGGTATAGGACCTTTTAGTAAAGTGTAATACTATTATAAATTAGGTAAAGTAAGTAAAGGCAGCAGGAATATATATAATAATTTAAAAATTAATAATATATTTTTTTAATTTAATAGCTTTTTATTTAATAATTACTAGCGCTACTATTATCTTTAAAGTGGCTAAAATAGCTTTAGTATTTTTTATTAATAAAGTAAATGGTAGGTTAACTACTTGCCAGGTAAAACAGGGATTATATAGGATTTATTTAAATTTTTTTATAAAAAATTTTACTATTATATTAAATATTCTAGCGTTTTTAATTACTTAGTTTAATAAAAAAAGTAAAGGCGGGGCTTACTATTTTTAAGTATTATTTTTTATAACTTATTTTAGTAAGGTTATAAAACCTATTAAAAAATTAATTTTTTTTATATTTTTATTATTATATTTTTAGCTTGCCTATAACCTATTTTAATAAATTTTTTTAGCTGGGTAGTAAACTTAATTACCTTGGTTATATATATAATAGCGCTTTTATTTTTATTTTTAAGCTTTAATATTATAAGTAGTTTAAAGGTCTTAGGTTTTATTTTTTAAACTACCTTGCTTTATTACCTTAGTAGCTGTAAAATAAACCACGTGATTTAATGTTATAATATAGGCCATGTAATTTAATACTATAATATAAACCATGTAATTACGTGTTACCCTTAGTAAGTATATATTATAGTATAGCGTAATTACTTTATAAAAAAAGCTGCTAGTTAAACGCACAGGGAGAAAAGGGATTATAAATATAGTAAAAAAAAATTTATAAAAAATAATAAAAGGCAAAGAGTAAAGAACGGTATTTATAAAGTAAAAAATAATATTTATAATTTTATATTTATAAATTAGGAGTTTATACTTCGGGAGTTATAAGGTTATAATATTTAATAAGGGTAAATAATAAAGGATTTAAAAATAAGTATTAAAGTTAATTTACTTAATAATAATAAGAGCTGGAGATATATTTTAATAGTATTAAGTAAGGTAAACTAGTTACCTAAATTTAATATAAAAAAAAGAATTAAGACCCTGTTTTTATAAACATGCTATTATTTATAGTAGTTAATATAAGTGCTATATATATTTAAAAAGTTTTGGATTTTATTAAGTCCTGTAAAGCGGGCAAAGTACCTATAAAGGTAGTAATATATAGCAAAACCTGTGTGTTGGGATGTGGCTATAAACATTGCCACACTTAGTATTCTATATTTATTTAATATTATACTTAAAATATATATTAGAAATATTTATATTTAATATAAAAGTTACAGGAATATTATACATCACGTGGTTATTATTTTATAAGTATTTAAAAATTTTAAAAAAGTCGAGATTTTAAAGTGTTGACAAACTTTTGACCGTGTATTTTATTAGCTTATTTTTTTGTTTTATTATAATAACATGCTTTAATATATTTAAAGTAGCTAGCAAGCTTGCTTAGCATATAATATAGCTTATTAAAGCTTATATTAAGGTGGCTAAATACACTTTTTAATACCTTATTATTATAAAAAACCTACAAATTAAATACTTGGCTAATACTAAAAAAATTTTTATTATAGCTTTTAATGCTTTTTTTAATAATAATTTTAATTAATATAGCTTTAATAAATAGCTTATAAAGCTATTTAAAGGTTTAATTAATTAAAATACTTATAAGTAAAAAATACTTACCACCTTTATTATTAAAGCTAAATTACTTACTATTACTAAAAAAGTAAAAAGCCTTATATAGTAAAAAAACTTTTTAATATTATTAAGTTTAATTTAAAGGTTAAATTACGCCTTTTTTATAATAATACTTAAATTATATAATTACTTAACTTAAATAATCCTATATTTACTATATAACTTTATTATATTAATATTTATTATTACTAGCTACGCGAGAAGTATTAAAATAATAAAATTAAAGTTAACTAAATAAAAATAAAAAATTAATTAATAAATAACCTTACTAAACTTTTTAATAACCCGCGCTATAAAATATTTATTTACTAACTTAGCCTTATTAAAATTAAAGCTATTTTTAATACCTAGTATTAATATTTTTATTTTTTTAAGTACTAGGGGGTATATTAAATAAAAGGTAAAGATTTTTAAATCTCCGCGGTAAATTTAGTTAAATAATTTTAATTAACCTTTAAAAATAAAGAAAAATTTACCTTTAACTTTACCTAGATCTCACGACCTAATTAGGAAATAAAATATAAAAAAAAAAATAAAAATAAATATAGCTTAAATTTTTTTATATTTAACTATTAAACTTTCACATCCATATTTACCTTAAATGCAAAAAAATCTTATATTTTGTTTACGTCTTAATTTTTATCCCAATCTTACATAACTAATTTCTGCCTGAGGCATCCATAACTCCAAAAATTAGTTATTAAAATACTTTTTTTAATATAATATACCACGGCTAATTAGGTAGCATTATTAATAAGTATAAAATGATAGTTAAAACTACTAATTTTAATTAATTAAATAAGTTATATATTTATATACTATAATTCTCCTGGATTTGCCTGCCGCGGGATAGGCTAAAATAATATTTTATAAAATTTAATTTTAAGGTAAGTAAAGTAGGTTAATTATTTAATAATATTTATATTAAGGCCTTTTATTTATATTATAGTATAAAATCTAAAAAATACCTGCATGGCTAAGGCGCTTATATAATAAATTTATATTAACTATAGCTAATTAAAAATATTATTTATATATAAACTTTAAAAAAATATTATAGTATATGTAAGCTTGCCCTATAATAAATTTATTTAAGTTAATAAAAATATTATTTTTTTATAATATTATATACCAAGTATTTTTTTAGCCCTTTAATAAATAATAGGTAAATTAAAGCTTTAAGCATATAATATTTATAAACCTTATTTTTTTTATCTACGCTATTTACACTTTTTATAATAATAATTAATATTTTATAACCTTTAGCATGCTTACTTATTTTATTAAAAATTTTATATAAGTACCTTAAGTAGTTTAGGCTACATTTTATATAATTTTTAAAATCCAAATATTTAAAAAAAAATAGCTAATTTTATATTTATAGGCCACTTTATTAGTTTAGTAATTATAATAAAAATAGGTATAGCTAAAAATTTAGGGCTAATTTTAAGCTTTAATTTATTATATTTAAAGTTATAATTATTAAATTTATTATTATTATATAAAGCTATAGCTTATAACTTTATATTAATTTTATTTAAGTATAATACCTATACTTTAAAAAGCTTAATCTAGCCATTAGGTTAAAGTTAAGGATTTAAATAATAATAATTTTTATAAAAATAGCTACTTTATTTATAATATTTATAAAAATAAACCTTATTATCCCCCTGCTTTATTTAATTAGCTTATTTATTTTTATTTATATTATTTAACAGGCTAGTAAGCGCTTTAGTATAAGATTTTTTAAAATAAACTTATTTTTTTTACTTTTTTAAGGGTGGGGCTATAATAAGAAATAAAATAATTATATTAGCTTTAGCTATAATATTTTTATATAGCTATTTTAGGTTATTTTTATTATAATTTTTTATAATTTTATTAATTAAAAATAATTATTAAAATATAGCTTATATCTTAATATTATTATAAATTTTTTAAATAACTAATAGCATGGTAATACTAAATTTAATAATAATATATAAGTTTTTAATAATATCCCACGTGGTTATAAATATGATAATAATCTTAAAAATAATAAAAAACTAGTTCCTACGTATATTAATAATATTAAGTATTATTTTAATAATTTACGGTATATTTTATTTAATAATATTTTAGTATATAATATTAAATATTTTATTAATATACTTTATTAAATATAAAAATTTTATAATTTTAATATAAATTTTATGGCTAATTTAGCCTAGGAGCTAATTAATAATAAGTATTAAGTAATTTTTTAATATTTTTAATATAACCTATTTTTAGGAGCCCTGGCAAGTAAAAAATTAATTAATTAAAAAAGGTATAAAACTTGTAAGTATTATTTTACTTAATTAAATTACTTATTATAATTAATTTAGCCCGTGAATTTAATTTCTAGTAAATATATAATAATAAAAATTATTATTAAAAATAAGTAGTGTTTATAATACACTTATTTAAATAAAAAATTAAGAAAATTAATAAGCTAAGTTATTTCTTAAAATATTTTTATAATAAAAATTACTATTTTTATAATAAAAATAGCTTATTACAGCTTGGCTATTTTAGATATTAAGTTTTAATTAATTAAAAAATTATAGTTTTATTAATTTATAAATAATAGGTAGTAAATATCACGCTTTAAAAAAGTAAAAAAAGTATATAATAATACTTATTATAAGCTTTAAAGCTTATAAAAATACTTAAAAAAGTTTTAAATAATATATTAAAGTAATTAAAAAAAGTTTAAGGGCTTATAACTTAATAATTAATTAATTATATTATTTATAATAAATTTTTTAATTATTTATATATAACAAGTAATAAGTTATAAAAAAAACCTTAATTATTATATACTGCGCTAGTCCTAATCAAGATAGGCGCGTCCCGGGCGCTGGCCCTCCGGGCGTCCGACAAGTCATCCCTAGGGTGAACCGGGCTGTTTAGGGCAAGGAAGGGATGGCCAGGTCCACCGGCGGCGGGGCAGGATCCGCGGGCTGCGTCGTCAAATGGAGTATTGGACGAATATTCGTGTGGCGGACTCTCCGGTAGGTACATGCGAACTCTTCCATGTTGGTTCCTCGTGATTGGGCCCCTATCCTCGCTACCACCTCGCACGTCAAGAGAGATGCTACAAGGAAGTGACGACGTTATACTTCTGCCTAACGCTATGGAAAATCCTGGTCCCTAACAGCAATTGCAAAAACAAAATCTACCGGGATCCGGGGCGGGGCTCAAGTAATTCCCCATCCCATCAAGCCAAAACACCCATTGGATCCCACCTCGGCAGCACCTTCGCCTCCTGCTTCAGGACATCCCGAATCTCAGGCGGAACAAGGCTGAAATCGACCACGGCCTGGAAGACATACTCGTCCATCCACCGATCGCTCATCACAAACCACCCCTTATCACCCGACGCCTCGCCCCAGGAGTTCTCGACGCGCCAGCGGATGGTCTTCTCGTTTTCAATATGCGCCGCCGTGATGACCATCGCGTGCGTCATGGCTGTCTCCCCGCAGGCGAGCCGCTCTGCCTTGTTCATGCCCAGACTGACGTTGAAGCCAAGGGAGAGATCGAGTAGATCGGGGTCCATGACGCCCGAGGCCCGGTCGGAGAACTTGCCCACGTCGCTTCCGAAGAAAACAGGGTGACCGGCTTTCAGCATTGCGATGACGGCTCTTTTGAGGACCTGTGCTGATTAGCAATAACTTTCATAGAACAGGACGGGGCGTCTTACCTCCATCTCCACGTTGACATAGATTAGCGGCTTCCCCTCAACCACATTCCCCAGTTTATCCACCGTCAGTAGCCGATTATACTCGTTTCTCGGATCATTGACAAGACTGCACAGCCGACTAGGGCAAACCCTCGCGCGCGACTGCGAAAACGCACTGTGTCCAAACTCCAGCGGCGTCTGGCGGATCTCCCTCGCCTTCCCATCCGCGTCCGCATACTGCCACACAAACTCCTGGTTCGGGCTCGGTGGCGGCCCCAGCATAATCGTGACTAGCGAATGAATCTCCTTCAGGAACGTCTCCTTCACAGCTGCAAGCTTCACACGCTCCTGGACCAGGGAACTAGACGCAAGCCGCCGCAGCGCAAACGCATGCTCACGGAGCTTGGCCGTCAGCAACCAGTTCATCTTGCCGCTATTCTGCGCATTGAACGTATCCGGGTACACGTCGTGCGGGACAAGCCCATACTTCTTGACCAGGTTCGCGACCATATCCCACTGCCCGCCATCGGTGACCGGGTCCTCAAGGAGCTTCTGCACCAGGCGGGCAGAGATATCCTGGTCGGCTGTCTCGATGATCGCCTCGTAGAAGTAATTTGCCTTCTCGATCTTGTCCCAGTAGAAGAGGTACGCCTGGCTCAGTTCGAAGTTTTTCAGCCCGTACGTCTTCATGATCGGGACGCGGAAGATATTCGTTGATGCGAAGAGCCAGCAGCGGCCGGAGGAGCGCTGGTTCGTGATTGGGGAGCCTTCGATCGGGACTTTGAGGTTGAAGACCTGGATGTCGGACTTGAAGGCCGAGCGGTTTGCGAGGACGTCGGTGTATGAGGCGCCTGCTAGACTGGAGATCGCGAGGCGGTTCTAGTCGGCCTTTTAGTACCGCTCAAACATACCACGAAGATAATGACAAACCTTTGGATCCTCAAGCAATGTCTCGTTCCAGTCCTGCAGGCGATGCAGCGACACGCTGGGCTGCCGCTCCTCGATCTGGTACGGCGGGGCTGGTTTGTCGTCAGCATCCGTTTCATTTATCTGCATTTTTCGATGATAGCACAAGACATACGCGATTCCTTGACGGCATCTTCCTTCTCCGTAAACTTATCGCTCAGCCTCGCCGGTAGACGGGCAGCATCAATTTTCCCACAACGGGCCTTTTCGCCGTCGTGCGCTGGCACTGAGTAGCTCGAGCCCATAATGGTCGTATCCCTGACCTCTTTGAAGGAAGAGAGGGGAGTTGGTGAGACAGAGGTGGAGGAGAAGGCCGTCAGCAGGACTCAAGTGCGGGGAAGTGAGGACCCGGGAAGGCAGATAGCACAAACGCATCAGATTGGCCAGGAATGTTGCACACAATGCAACCGTAAGTGGCTTATCACTGCATTGTCCCATCCTCAGGTACGATTATTAGCATAGCAGCGTTGACAGACACTGGAGGGATAGCAGTCTTCTGGGCTTGAGATTGCGCCAATTCGCACAGGACAAAAAACAATCTTGTTTATTTCAATCTCTACCAATACGCGCGCATAATATCTATTCCAGGAATTGGAACCTGGCTTATAATAGAAGCTCTCGCGAGCTCCCATGGTACCTACCTAGGTAGGAAGCTAAGCCTCCTCCTCAACGGCGTAAGCAATGCGAGTCGCCATGGGCAAAGACCTCTTCAGCTCATTCATCACCCCGTTCCCAAAGACATTGCGCATGCCATGCTCGTCGCTTCCACTTCCAGCGGAGGACTTGCGGTAGCTCGAGGACGCATGAGCGGTTCCATGGCTGTTAGCATGATGGCCGTTCGTTTTCACCCCGTTAGTCTCCCTCTCCCTCTCCATTTCCTTCTCCCTCTCAACCTCGTCCCCGTTCACCGTATACCCCGTATCACTCGCATCAACAAACGCCTCGACCCCCGCGCCCTCGCGCGCGAACCCCCTCATGAGAACCTTATGTCTGCGCAACGCAGCGCCCATCTCTTCAGCCGAGACGTCGTTGAGAAAGACGCAGCGTCCCAGCGGACTGGGAACAGCGGCGCGAAGAAGGCCGTCGCGCGTTTTCAAGATCGCGGCCGTGGCTTTTCCCAGCAGTTCCTCCGTGAACAGCGCGTGGTCCATCGCTAGTCCGGCCCGACTGAACAGGTTCAGCAGCCGGATGTGCTCGCGGTCGCTGAGCAGCCCGCGGCCGTTCGCAAGCGTCGCGCTGTACGCCATGTCGATGGAGATGGCGTGCCCGTGGCGGAGGGGGACGGGGGGCGCGAGCTACGGTACACAAACTCGTTAGCTACCTTATGTATGGCTCATGGGGAGAAAGGGAATGGTGGACGGGTGCGGACCTCATGCAGCGGCGACCACGTATGCCCATACGCAATGACCCGGTCCAGCCCTATCTCATGCAGATTCGGCGCCTCGAGCTTCAGCATCTCGAGGATCCCGCTGCGGTTGATCTCATCGGCGGCCTGGCGGACTTCAACCGGGGCACCGGCCGCCCGTCCAAATTTGGTGGCGATCAGGCGCTCGCAGAACGTATCGAGGAGGTCGAATGTGCGGCCGTGCGCGCAGCTGGAGATCTTGATTAGCTCGGCGAATCCATTGCGGACCTGGGCCTCTGGGAGGGTGCGCAGGAACCCGAAGTCCAGGAGCGTGTGCATGGGGGCGTGGTACGCGCCCAGGCGGTTCTTGTAGTTGTTGTAGTTGACGGCGACTTTTATGCTCACGGAGGCGTCGATCAGCCCGATTACGGTTGTCGGGATGCGGATGTAGTTTGTGTTGCGGCGGTAGGCGGCGCAGGCGAAGCTGCGTGTTGCCGTTAGTGGTGCCTTGGAGTGCAAGGGGGGACAGCTTACCCGGCGACATCGGTGACGAGTCCTCCGCCCTGGATGGATTAGCGTTATAGGGGTGCCTTCGGGTCAAGTTTGAGGGCACATACGACAACGAGAACGGGCTCCTTCCGCATAATGCCAAAGTCATTCATCACGTCAACAATGCTGGTGAACGTATCCAGGCTCTTCGCCTTCTCGCCAATCATCGTCTGATGGATCTGCAGCTTCAGACCGTGGTGGCCAAAGTAGCGCTTCATCTCGTCGCCGTACAGGTCATAGATGTTCTTGTCCATGATGGCCAGACAGCGCCCCCAGCGCTCATACAGCCTCGCGAGCTGCGCATGCTGCGGCTCAAAGACGCCATCCAGGAAGGTAAAGTCGTACTCGATCTTCTCGTACCCCTCGACATGGAAGCCGGCGGGGGTTTCAGACACGGAGGCCTTGAGGTCGGACATGGTGCTACTGTCTTTGGGAGCGTAGGTGTATGATATCCGCTAACGAAAGAACGGAATACCACTACCGTAGATACTTGCTTGAGTGATGAATGTGAGAGGTCGATCGACTGAGTGGAAGGAAGATTCCCAGGCCCGTGGGCGGTCCGGGGTAGTCTAGGCATCCCCAGGGCAAGACGTCAATCTAACGTCGCGCACATGTTGACACCCACGGGCCACCTCTGCAGCAGCCGAGTCAATGCGGTCAAATCAAGCTTTGCCCCATGTGAAGGGTGAGACATGCATAACGGGCCGGATCGACGTCAACGACTTAAATGGCGCATGTCTGATCTGCATGTCTCAGTTTGGGTCCGGGTGCCGTGTCTCGCATGCGCCGTCCCGGCCAACCTTAATGGTGCGCCGGGTGTCTCGGATGACGCCGGTGGTACAGCTTTGACTTCCCGCGCCGGCTGGAACATGTCTCGTCACGGCGCCTCATTCTGTGCCATTTTTGTGATTGGTCGGGGTTGGATGGGACCAGGGACTTGCATGGGAGACCGAGTCTGCAAGGGCGATCTAGACGGGTTGACGGCCTGGCATGGGGATCTCAATGAATAGCTGATCATGATCTCGATGGGCCTATTCGGGATGGTGAGTTACGGTTTACGGATCATTTGATCATTTCATGGCTGCACACTCCATGGCTCATGCCCTGCACATTCTTGCGCCCTAGTCCGCCAACACACCTGAATGGGGTAGATCCTAATCGAAACAACCTACTGCAACTTGATATAATTATGCCAGAAGCAATATCGCCGCTCATGACAAAAGACACCTTCGACGCCTCGAAGGCATACGCCGCGCAGGAAGAAACCGCGTTCTTCGACGACGGGCGCGAGATCGAACTACTGCACTTCGTCTACTCGCATCCAGACCTCGAGAGCATCCGAGGCTCACCGCAGAGAGTCCTCGACGCGATCGACGAGTATGCCCGCACGAGGAAATATCTTATGAATGTCGGCGAGGCCAAGGGGAGGATTGTGTGTGATTTGATTGCGGAGGTGAAGCCAACGACAATGGTATGTAGTTCCACGCTCAAGGAGGTCTTCTCGGACGAATGCTTATACTATCGTTATTCAGGTCGAGCTAGGCGGCTACGTCGGCTACAGCTGCATCCTCTTCGGCGCCGCCGTCCGCGCCGCCGGCGGAAGTCGCTACTTCAGCCTGGAGATGAACCCCGAGTTCTCAGCGGTGATCATGGCGCTCGTCTCGCTCGCGGGCCTGTCGGACATCGTGAAAGTCGTCGTCGGGGCGAGCGATGCGTCCCTGGCCCGACTCTTCTCAACCGGCTCCCTGCAGCACATCGACCTGCTGTTCCTGGACCACTACAAGCCCGCTTACACGACGGACCTGAAACTATGCGAGGAGTTGAAGCTGATTACGCCGGGCTCGGTCCTTGCAGCGGACAACGTGATCAAGCCCGGGAATCCGCCGTATCTAGAGTACGTGCGGAGCAGTGTGCGGGAGAAGAGGAGGAAGGTGCGGGAGGCTGGTGGGGGGCTGGCGAATGGTCGAGCTATGCCTGGGAGGGCAGTGGATCAGTATAAGGGTAAGAGTGGGTTTGGGCGGATGAGGCTGAATCAGAGCGCTGGGAATCCGGATCTTGTGTATGAGAGTCGCCTTGTGGAGAGTTTTGAGCCGACGGGTGAGCCGGTGAGTAGAGCAGTGCCCGGGCTGATATCTTGGATTGACGACTGATATTCTATAGGATGGCGTGGAAATTACCAGGTGTGTGGGGGAGGGGCAGTAATGGCAAGGAGACTTTATCATATGCCGTAGCTACGATCCGCATAGTCTCAAAGCAATTATAATATTCTGTAAACTACAATTCTATGACAGCACGCCACGGTTCAAGTAGTACTGTTTCCTGAAACACCCCTCTAGCCCGGGCATCTCGGAAAAGACATTCCCTCAAGTAGGCTAGTCATGACATAGGCGAGAAGCACAATGCATCCACCGGACGTCGGGCTGCAGCGTTTGCAGAAATAACCTTGGAACATGACGTGGACGTTCCAGCAATCTTACCAGGATACCCAAGGTCCGAGACAGCCGGTGCATATGAACATGACATCTTCTCGGCCTCCACCTCACAGTATCCCCAGTTAGCCCTCCTCACTCGTCCGCCCACAGCACAACATTTGGAAGCTGTAGAACCCACCCGCTTGTGGAAAATGGCCGACCCCTTCTTCCACAAGCATATCCCCAAGAACACCCTCCTCATCGCTCTGAGCCTCCTCATCCTGCCCATAACAGCAACACTCACAATCGCGACTTTGCTTTGCAGCTATGTATCGGGCGCCTCTCCACAAAAAAGCGCCAGCAACGCCCCCGGCACCAAAACAATCCTCGTAACCGGCGTGTCCATGACGAAGGGCCTTGTCATCGCGCGGATCCTCGCGAGAAATACACCCCATCGCATCATCGGCGCAGATACTGAACCAGCCTTGATACCGTTTACCTGTCCGGGTCGGTACTCGCGCGCCGTGGGCAAGTTCTACAGACTCGATTGTCCAGCTCCAGACAATCCAAAACCGTACATTGACTCCCTGCTCTCTGTCATCCGGAAAGAAGGCGTGCATTTATGGATCAGCTGCAGCAGTGTCGTTGGGGCCGTTGAAGACGGTGAGGTTATGGCCACAGCGCGCCGCGAATTCGGGTGCCATTTCGAGGCAATCCAGTTTGACGCTGGCACTGTGCGGAAGTTCCACGAGAAGGACGCGTTCATGGCGTATATCGCGGGATTGGGCCTGGCGGTGCCGGAGTCGCATCGGTGTACGTCTGTTGACGAGGTTGAGCGCGCCTTGGATAACGCAGGTGAAAAGAAGAGATTCATCATGAAGCCGATTGGTGTCAATGATAAAGCCCGAGGGCAGATGATGACGCTCCTCCCGCTTGAAGCCGGGAGGGATACCTCGTGCTACCTGCGCGGTCTGGGTATATCGCCCTCGTCGCCTTTCATCCTGCAGCAGTACATCCCCGGTAGCGAATACTGCACGCACTCGCTGGTTGTCCGCGGGGATGTCAAGGCCTTCGTCGCGTGTCCGTCGTCCGATATGCTCATGCACTATGCCGCCCTCCCTCATGACTCCGCGCTCAGCGTCAAAATGCTGGAGTTTACGAGGCGCGTTGCGGAAGACGGTGGTCCGGACTTTACGGGCCATCTTAGCTTTGACTTTCTTGTTGATGGTGATGGCGCAGACGCGGCGCTGTACCCCATTGAATGCAACCCGCGCGCTCATACGGCTGTGGTGCTGTTCCAGGATACGCCGGAGATGGCGGGTGCGTACCTCTCCTGCTTCGAGACAAAAAAGGGCCAGTCCGGTGGTCGTGATGTCGTGGTGCCAAAGAGCCCGCGGTATAGCTACTACTGGCTCGGCCATGATCTCGTCACGTTGTTTATCATGCCGCTGTTGGTTTGGCTCTGTGGGCGCGCAGGGGGTCCGCTTGTGGATGTAGGGTCGAACATTGCGATGTTCCGGGACCATCTGCTGTACTGGCGGGATGGGACGTGGATTCCTTGGGACCCGTTGCCTTTCTTTATGCTGTACCATGTCTATTGGCCTGCGAAGTTGGTTGACTGTCTTGTTAGGGGGGGGGAGTGGAGTCGGGTTAATGTTAGTACGACTAAGATGTTTGAGCGTTGAGATGGAGTAGGAGAGAAGGATGCGCAGCAGTTTCTATAGAATTGTTCATGAATGGCACCATTAAGACGGTAAAGTCTTTCCACTATCTCAATCAGCAGAAACTGTTTATGGGGGTGAAGTTTCTCAAACTCCCTTGACCCTACCTCGTAATCCGTCAGGCCCATAACTAGGTGATCAAAGTGTACTCTTTGCTCAGTTAATATGGATGCTTTGATGGCCTGGCTAGTACTTGGAATGAAGTTGCACCTTGTCCTGATCCACCTGTTTAATACCGCGAGAGCAGACTATATGCCTACCATACCCGGATGTCGTTTATTGTTTATTGTCTTTTGTCTAGTGTAATCTGCGTAGTCGCGCTCTACCTCCTCGGCGGTCCTCTATTTCAACATTGCTGGCCTCCGTACGAGACCTGTCACGATCCCTCTCGTCTTGAATTGATTACCTCGGGTACATGAGTAGCTATTTCCCGCTGTTGGTACCCCGTAGTGGCGGTTGGAGTTGGATGCGCTGTGTAACGGGCCTGCAGCGAGCAAGCATGTCCCAGTCTTGCCCTGGGTTCTCACTTCTCAGTGGCTCAACTTCTGGATCCCATGTCCTGGTGCTTAGACCTGCACGATATTGAACGCCGATTCCGGTCCTCGTTCAATCTAACAACCCCTGGAGTTCGGGTTTGGGAGTTTCGTTATACTTTCCTGACTATTTGTGCTTCCGGAATTGGTGGCAATTGTTTAGCGTCCATTCGTGAAAAGTGCGTGTAGTCTTTATTGTTGCTGTGGAGGTGACGAAAACATATATTTTTGGCCGCTGGGCACTGCGCGCAAATGTCCTGTTGCAGGTTGGGTCACCAAGATCCAACTGCTCGTCTCGGATCAGTAGACGCAACACAGCAAATTCTGCATTCATGTACTGTCCATACGTAATGCCAGAAGTATAGGTGCTTATGTTCCACGATTTCATTGTGTGGCACGTGCTCAGCTGGCTCATGTTTTGGATAGTAGACCAGTAAACCAATCAAGAGACGGCAATCTTATCAGATGTTGGATCAGATTAGATAAGCGGAGGATCTGATAATCGAAATTGCTCCACCGTCTTCCCCTCCTCGAGTCCTCATCCGCGTTTTCTCTCTCAGCTGTGTCTGGGGTAGCGGCGTCTGGCCTTAACGTTTCTCTTTCCTAATTTCTTTCTTCCTTGTACATATTTTCCTCGGAGCTCGCCGGCCTGATCCTATCAACGGAGCGCCGTGTTCCCAGCCGCGCCCGGCCGATCACCCTACGCGGTTCTTGCACTGCTCCCTGACCGGATGTGCGCCCGCGACGTGTTTTTATTTTACCAACAGTTCTCACTTGATCTCTATAGACAATCTTAGTCATGAAATTTTTCGTGTGTTTATCCCTCCTCGCTACCGCCGCATCAGCCCGCTCGAGCATCGTCCCCGTCAACGAGCGGTGTGTCGACTCCATAACAACAGCATACACATACGTAACCTTCGCTGGCTCGCCATCACGGAAATTCCTAGAGCAGCGATGTCGGAACCCCCTTGCCGTGACGTCGATCTATGCTTCGGCCGATATCTACTGTCGACCGAATGAACGGGAAGCTGGGATCCGACGGCTCGAGTGGATGTGTGAGGAGGCGGACCTGGAATTGTTGTCGAGGGAGAAGGTCAAGGAGAATCTGACAGAGGACGCCATTTTACACATGAGGAGGGTGGACTATTTGGAGTTGGATATGGGGACCCCGGTTAGGTATCCTGTTCTGCTTTCGGCCGAGCATTATCGCAGGGTGTTTTTGACGATGGTGAGTCTTTTGATGAGAGTTCTTGCAGAGATATCTGATTTGCTTGATAGAATACGTGGGCGTATGAGAGCTGGACGCATTATGCATATGGGTATGCTTTCCTCGTGCCGCTGACCGCGATGTCTAACCAGTCAATGCAGATACATCGGCTACCTGTACTGGGCATGCATTCTCTCGCTAGGGATGCTGAACAAGATGCTGAACCACTTCATCATCTCCCGTTACGAAGAGAGAACCCTGCTCTCGCGACACTCGCCCTTACGACGAATCTCCCACTTCCTCCAAACACACCTCCTCGTCCCGACTGCCTTCCCCTCCCACGGCCGGGAGTTGCTCTGTTGGACATTCTCAAATCGTGCCGAGGCCCTCGTCACCCTCGGCTTCTGGATTCTCAGCACCCTTCTCTGCGCCGTTAGCTACCGACTGTCGACGGACAATATATAGTGCGCACTCTCTCTCCGACGTTCTTTCCCCTCTAACATCGTCAAGCTGGCCAGACACCTCCACCCAACTTATTCGGTACATGGCCGACCGCACAGGAATAATCTCGTTCGCGAATCTACCGCTCCTCTGGCTCTTCGCTGGCCGCAATAATATCTGCGCGTGGGCGACGGGGTGGAATTTCGCGACGTTCAACGTATTTCATCGGCATGTTGCGTGGATTGCGACGATCCAGGCCGTCGTACATACCGTGCTTTATCTCGTGCTGTTTTTCCAGAGTATGTTACCACTTGAAGCTTCCTCCCTGAAGGGCTCAATATAATCAGGTTATCGCTAACTTGGCCCTTGCATGGTAGACTCGAATCCGTGGAGGAAGCTTCAGAAACCCTACCTTTTATGGGGGACCTTGGTAAGTGCGAGATACCAAGCCTCGCTATATGCACTGTACTAAATGCATATGTAGGCAATGGCCCTGATGCTACTCATCCTCCCCCCGGCAGTGACCTGGTTTCGACACCGCGCCTACGAAACATTCCTGTTCATCCACATCGTCTTCTCAATCGGACTCCTTGTCGGGTGTTTCTAGTGTGTTCCATCTTCCCTCCCAAGTCCCTCCACTAACGCCCCTAGCCACACCATCATCTTCGAAACCCACGAGTACTGGTTCTACCTCTGGCTCCCCGTCGGGATCTGGGCCTTCGATCGCGGCCTGCGAATTCTCCGGGTTGTATACTGCAACATCCACGTCCACGTCCTCTCAAATTCCAGACACAAAAAGAAGATCCAGCTCCAGACCACAACAAGCACAGCATCCTACGACGAAGCCGCCGACCTGATCCGCCTCGACGTCATCCCCGGCGCTGGTGCTGGCACTGATATCCGTCTCCGCCCCGGACCCGGACAGTACTACTTCCTCTACCAGCCCTTCAGATGGACAGGGTGGGAAAGTCACCCGTTCACGCTGGGCAGCTGGGGATACATAGTTCGCCCGGCAGAAGGCAACCTTAAGTACACCTCCAAATCCGGCCAGACAACGCCCACAGCGCTAAAAGGCGACGAGGAAGTCGACGTCTCGCAGATCCCGCTGCTGTCTGACTCGTCCTCGGATAGTCACGCTACCTTGACACACGCCCACACCGATGGACCCTCTGGGGAGGTAAACGTGCAGCTCAAACTAACCTTCTACATCCGCCCCTACAACGGGTGGACGCGCGCCCTGCGCGACCAGTGCCGCGCCTCACCGAATCTCTCAAGTACCAGTACAAGCACGATCCTCCTCGAGGGACCCTACGGGACTGAATTCCCGGTGTGGCGGTATGAATCCGTCCTCCTGATTGCGGGGGGGACGGGGATCGCGTCGGCGGTGCCGTATATCCAGGACCACATTGCGCGGTCGGCGGGTGGAGACCATGAAGAAGGTGCTGGCGATGAGGAAGCCGAGGGGCCGGGTACAAGAACAAGGGTGCGCAATATGCAACTCCTCTGGGTAACGCGACAAGAAGAGTTCATTCGTGATCTCGCACGCAATGAACTTGGTCCCGCGCTAGGGAGAGGTGATTTCACGGCGAGCTTTTTCGCGACGGCGACGGCGTCTGATGCTTCCGCCCTTTCGCGAACTGGCCAGAGACAGCGACAGTACCCGCGCTCGCGAGTATCAGATGCGCGACAACCAAATATCGGTATCCCCACAATAGTACCCGGAGCTGAACGGTTGGGCAGCGGTGTGGATGTTGATATCACACCCGGCCGCCCGAATCTAGAGAAGATCATCGCCACCTTCGCAGAAGAGGCGCACGCTAGTGATTCTTCTGCGGCGGTGCTAGTCTGTGGGCCGCAGCGGATGGCGGATGAGGTTAGGGCTGCGGTTGTTTGGGCGTTGGGGCGCGGGATGGTGGTGAGGTATGTCGAGGAGAGTTTTACTTGGTGATGGATGGTAGGGTGAGGATGGTGCCTATTTAGGTCCCATGAGTTGAATAGATGTATATATCGATGCTGTTAGAGAGTTAGAATGGACATACTATGCATTGTCGCCTGAAATTTGACTTGAACCTTGACGGGGGATAGGGGTGGGAATTCTGAAAGATGGGACGTGACATGTCTGGCCCCAGGACAGCGGAAGTATTGATTGAGTAGTCTACACATGCCAGGATGACGGAAATGCCATATCGACCTCGCATGCAATGACTATTCAACTGAAACGGCAACTAAGGATTGACTGTTTGCAGTGATGGAAAAGCATGGGCATAGCTCAATCTTGCAGTCAAAATCAACGATATGGGAGAAGTCATGTTTAGTGAGTGATAGTGTTGACCCGGCACCTGTTGTCTAGGTAGGGCTGCCATTAGCTTCCAACGTATAAAATCCCTCTCAAGGCAGCCCATTTCACCTCCATCATCACAGCCACAACGTCCTTTCATATCCACCCACTCTCACTGACCCCAACAGTCCACTCCTGATGTCTATAACATCAACCAGCCTCAACCAAGTGCAATTCACCATTATGACCCTCGACCTCCTCGCAACCGCCGTCCTGGCCACCGCAATCCCGCACGCCCCGTCCCCTGCCCACAGCACCACCAACGCCGCGCTCATCTTGCAAGCGCAACATAACCCTCGAGCATGCAGCGATACCATTTAGCCACGGATCACTCTGGTGCCCCATTGATCATCTGGTCTCGGCGTCACCACTCCCTCCAAAACAGCGTCATTGTCAAGAAGGACATTGCACAGGCGCAGAAGTTGGGGAAATGCTCGAGCGGGACGTATCCAGCCTGTGCGGCGAGGATTAGTAGCCAGAAGAGCGCGATAATGGCTTTTGCGTAGGCGTTCACCATGGTGGGTTGCTGGACTATGGGCTTGTAATGGGACTATGGCAGGACACATGAGTAGAATGAATGGACGGGAGTGGAGTTGGACATACAAGAAGGTGGTCTCTCTGTGAGCTAGCAAGACAATAAAAGCGACAATGTATGGCCAATCTCTTTAGGTGAATGGAGTTCCTAAATTACAGTTTAAAGACTGGGGTGAGAAACATGCAGCGGCCTTGATCAGATAATCGCAAGACTGCTCTAGAGCAGAGTGAAAAAGAGGCCGGGGCCACCACGGCTGCTATATAGGTAGGCAGCTGCAGGGGCTGGGCATCGATCACTCGGCGGTATTAGTGCTATCGTGGGAGTGTTACTCGGGGAAGCATCATTGGCCGTTGGTTCTCTGTTGGGTTAAGACACTAAATGAAGGACCATTGCCAACCTAGGTAGGTACAAAGAAGCAGCGCGTCCTCCAACTACTGTGGCTCCCTTGGTTTCAGCAGGCGCACAGGCTCGGACTCGTGTCTCCTATGACCCTTCCATTTGTCTACCTCGCATGACCGGGGATTCTTCCAGAAGTCTGGGTTTAATGGATGGATACATAGATAGGCTTGACCTGGTGGACATTCATTACAATCGAGCAATTGCCCTAATCCCGCCTGCACGCCAATCACCGTAGCTGGACCTGCGATCTCCTGCATCATGATTTGATCACGGCCCAGCGAAAGACGTCGTACAAGCCCCTCATCCTCATGATGTCTGTGATTTGCAACGCAAAGCTCATCGCGACCAATATTTGGGCTCTGCTTGGGGGGCCACGACTTGAATGGCGGGCATCGACTTTCAAATTTGATGAACCGGTGATACTTGCGGTATGACTGATTAAATGAAGACCATCGCTGATGCGATCAAGAAGGCATGGGATGAGGTCCATGGTAAGAAGTATAATGATGCTTGCAAACGTCACAGATTTGATCTGAACCCTGGGTCTAAGCCTGGTCAACGTGAACTAACGTGCCCACCCCGACTCCCCGAGTCCTATTTTCAGGCTCACTAAATCTCTCGCAGCCTGTACCACTGTAGCAACCAGCTAGCTGGCTCCCCGAACCCGGCAAGTGCTGCGCCTTATCAAGGAGTGTCGCCGTCCGCCAGTTAGGGCTTCCCGCTAGCCGCCGACACTGCGAAGCCCTGTTGACATACCCCAATCATGAACCTACTATCCCTGCGGCACAGCACCCTTGCATGAATCTTAAGAACCGGCCTGGGCCAGTCCTACGCACAGCCCCGCTCTATAACCGTGCTGCTTGACTTCCTTGCTTCGTCCACACCTTCCATTTCAATCCGAACTTAACTGCGCTGAGCCACATTCGCTGTCCGGCGTGGCAGAGCAAAGGTGGGTTGCACTTGCGCCCTAGGCAGCGAAATAATTGTGGTAGTAGTGGGCGTGAGCCGGTATATAGTGATCGCCAGATCCCCACCCCCAGCTAGTTTCCCAATCTTCAATTCCAGTAATTCATCTGTCGACAAACCACCTTGAAACAAGACGCCATGTCATATCAACGTCCATACTCATCCCCCTACACACCCTCGCCCTCACCCCCTCACCTCTCTACCATCCTGAACCTCTACCCCGATGCCGAACCCTACTGCGCCGGCTACGCCCCATCACAAGGCCGACGATGCCACATGCGCACGAACGCCCGCGGCCGATCGCTGGCCCTCTCACTGCTCAACGAAGCCACGAAGGATATCCGGGCGGGATATATCCCAGACGAAGATCTGCTCTTTACCCTCGCGCACGCAACGCTCTGCACGCGCTTCCATCAGAATCAAGCACCCACTCTTGTAGCGCGCTGGAAGGGCGCTATCGAGTGCTTCTTCGATAAGCAGGGTGCACCTCCAGCTACAGAGTATGATGCGGGAGGCCAACAGTGGTTCGAGGACTGCATATCCGGCCGCCGTAAAATGGACTCGCTCGACGAACTGGAGAGTTTCACGCGTGCTCTCCTTTACCCGGATTTCGCACCGACGCCTACCACCAGACGCTCGGGCGGCGCGTCAGGAGTATCAGTCTCTCGGAGGATACCTGCACCAGCGCGATTTGGATTGCAACCAACTGCGCGTCGGACATCAGCGTCTCGTGCCCAGACTGAGTCTGGAAATAGCCTCGTTCGCGAAACGGGGGCTCCTCCGGCTCCAACCCAACGTAGTGCGACGAGGAGATCTAGGGCGACTACGCCTGCCCCTGCTCCTCAATCTGCACCTGCAACTGCAACCCAGGGGCTATCAGCAATCACTTCGAGATCGGCTGCCCAGGATACAAGGACATCCGCTCAAGCGCAAGCACGGGACACAGCCTCCGTCGTGAGAAGAACTGGACAGAGTCAGGAGCGTCGAGATGGAGGTGATCATGACACCCGCGGACGTGGTCAAGGCCTCTCTCCCACCATGGCACCTGGGACACCTTTAGTGTCCACGCCTCTCTCAAGCAGTATATCAGTCAGAGCCCCTTCACCAACGAGCCCGACGAGCCCGACGAGCCCGACGACCACGACAACAACTACTACGACAACCACTACCACCACGACGACGACAACGACGACAACGACGACGACGACAATAACGACCGTACGTCCAGACACCAACGCTACCTCCAGTCCTAACCTGCTCGACGCACCCACGGCCCCTCGCCAGCCGATTCAATCAAGTGCCTCTGCACAATCGCATCCCCATTCGCCGTCTATCCCTACCTCCTCACCCGGGACTCAAAGAGTACCCCCAGCTTCTGCTCCTGCTCCTGCTCCCGCTCCTGCTTCCACCTCGGCTACTATTACTACTATCAGTGGGCAGACACCCCCGTCCGTCCCCAACTCAGAAGCGACTTCCACCGCTCATCAGAGGACACCAGGGCCCTCTACCCGTCCCAGACGGCGCCCGGTCGAGGGTGACTGCACCATCTGCATGGAGCCGTTCATATCGGACGAAGGAAGGGCTGGGTCTCGAGATGACGAGGGGGCAGTGGAAGAGCATATTGCCGGTAGTGGAGGGAGGGGGTCAGTCTGTGAGGTATCCTGGTGTAAGACACAATGCGGAGTCAATTATCACAAAAGGTGCATTACACAGTGGCTGGAGGCGTCGCCGAATTCCACGTGTCCGACGTGTCGGGGGGCATGGCGGAATTAAGTGGAGGTTCTCGACCTATACCCATGTTTCTCTATCTTTGATATCTTCTTGGCGGGTATTTCTGCGGCGTTTAGGTGGTTGCGACGGCGAATGAGCGAGTATGCCTTTGAATGGGATCTGCCATTATGAGTACGTAGCTAACAACCTTGTGTTTCAATATGACATTGATCCATCATATCCTCCTTCATATGTCCTACATCGTGTCCAGCCCCTCCTGCATCACGGGTTATACCGGCTAAGATTGCCAGCCGTGATAAATAGCTTTCCATGTTTCGGTAGACCTGGCCGGTGGATGTATTGATGGCCAGCTAAACATCCTTGTTGTTCTTAAGTCGCTGCCGATTCCCCAGATCGGAAGGGCGGCATCCGAAATCAAATAGTGCGTATTTGTAGAAGTAGGTGGACCCGTCTCGTTCCCGCGATTCAACGACCAGCTTATCTCGAGCGATAAAGTGAACTGTAAGCTCGCCAAGAAAGCTGAAGTTGCCGTTCACATATTCGTTCACATCCGCAAAAAAGAGTTCTTCGCGCGGCGAAGGATACGAAACCTGCCTGGGTTGGCCACGGACCAGACTGCGGTGCTGGGGCTGTGCAGATTTGTCTAGGGCATCGATGTCTTTGTATTTTGAGGCAGGTAGTGCCAGGGATCCCACATTGAGCGGGTAGAGCGCTGGGCCCCTCGTACAGGATGCATAAAGGTGGCGGAACGGGTCAATGGCGATAGCCCCGAGTCTGAAGTCTTCCACCGGCCAATAAACCGTCTCCTCGCCTTGGTGGTGGAATTTGCCGTCGGCACCTGCCACAAACCTGTCGAGCTTGATCGGTGTCTCCTTTCCGTCGAAAGACCGCCGCTTCAGGGAAAGATCTTGGCTGATTATGACAAACCCTTCTTCGTCCGACGATGCCACGATGGATGCGTGATCAAAAGTTCCCACCCCAATTTGAAGATGTTGAATTGCACGCCCATTCTTAGCGTCGAAAACAGTAACACGGCCACTGGTGACCGGGTACCTCCTGGTAAAATCTCTTTTCTGGTCAAAGGTAATCGCGACTATCACTTGGCGTTCACCAAGCTTGGTCAGGGCTGTATAGTCTCTGGAAAGTAGCCACTGGTGGGGGACATAATAGTCATCCAGAGGGACTGGAATCTTCAATCCGCGATCATCCAGTCTAGTCTTGTAGAGACAGTGACCAGAGTCGATATCAATGGCCATCAAGTAGTCTGCGTTTCCGCGATGCTCAGTGACATGGTAGTACAGCTTGGTCGAGTCGAACAGCAGCGGACGTTCTGTTGGGATGTAGTCAGAATCACGCCTGTATTGGCGCCCCCATTTCTCTTCTCCTGTCTCCAAAACGAATAGATGATCTCTGATGGTGAGAGTGGAGAGTCGCGGGTGGTCACGGGTTCGAAGCAGAATATAACCGTTCGGGCTTAAATGCATGCTGATGAGTGGTCTTCTCTTGAGGGAGGTCGGGTGCCGAAGGGGCTTCAGCTTGATACCATAATCTTCTGGGTCGCCCTTTGTTTTCTGAATGGCCATTCAGTAGATGTCATGTTGGGACTGCCAAGCTACCAAATTCCCTGCCACGGCGAAGCACCGAGAATCGGTGCGGAAGTTGTAGCAGTGCTTCGGGCGTCCGGAAGTTAGAGCAGCACGCTCCTTGAATACCTGCGCTATTTTTGTGTGATCGCTGGGTTCTGCAAGTCCTTCAAGGGCCCAGAACTGGGGGTCGTGAAGACGAATCCCGTCCAGTGTTATCCATTCGTGGACGAACTTCCCCCAGTGGGTGTTGACCTGGTCGCAGCGAGCAAGGTCCGAAATGTCGAGGAGTCCCAGGATCATACCGAGACAGTCGGAGGGAAGGTAACGTAGAGGATCGCGTCTGGTGTTATTGGCACTGTTGTTGTCATTCTTGGTTGCAGGAGGGAGCTTGTTTGCGGAGTGTTTGGAGCCACGGGCGCCTTTGCGTTTGCGAGGCATCGTGAGGTGAGTGGGATGGAAAGCGATAGGTGGCGGACAATGAGTGGCCAAGCTGGAATGAAGGGAGGAATTGGAGGAGAGAGGAGTGAGAGGGAGAGGGAGAGTGAGAGGGAGGTGGAGGGAGTCGCTGAGGAAGGAGCAACACAACACACAAGGAGAGAGGTCACGTGCTTAGGCAAGCACCCAGCATGGGCTCAAGGTCAATCCGTTGATTCTTCAGGTGACAAGTATGCCGGAGTAATTGCCTTTGCTAAGAGCTTGTTTCAGGCTCCATGTCTAAGTTTTGACGCGGCCTAGTGGGCGATAAGACAGGATATTTCACAAAACGTGAGGGTGGAAGCAGAAGACTTCGCGGGCTCATGCTAACACTGTTACAGGGTACCGTTTCCTGAGGAGTTCTCTGAGTTATAGAGGCCGAAACTACGCAGCGGGTTTTACCCTGGTCTCAGAGATCAGGACGTTGGTCAAGCTGGGCTATTATGGTTGGTGGGTAGAATGATGAAGTTCCAAGAAACCAGTGGTAACCCGAATGAACTACAGCTTCATCGTGGTGATCAAGAAATCTTGGTATTCATATTCCATTGTAGGATTAACTAAAGCCAATTCTCTCCCGGGTACTTGAGCGTATCAGAGAAGTTGCAACCCAGTGTGCAAATATCAAAACAAATCAAACCATTTCCTGCGTCGTCCCAATACACTTCATGCCGAACGGAATCGCTCACTCCAGTCTACATTACCCAACTATTTGATTTTTCCAAAGTCCAAGATCCGATACGTGTATCGATGCTTCCCATAAGCGGCACAGTCAATCTCAACAATGATCCGCCCCGGGTCAACAAAGTGGACTGCATGCTCATACTGCATGGCTTGGTCAGGGAGGAATCGGTAGGGTCGACGGCGGGACCGAATGCTTGTGTCTTTTGGTGGAAGCGTCACTGGCTTCGATAGGCCGAAACGCCTCTTGACCTCTTTTTCATCCTCCTTCTCGGTTGCACCCGTCTCTGAAGCGGCAGGCTGGGAAGACTGGGCAGCATCAGGTGCGGCCAATGTGAAAGACCCAATATCAAGACCATTCATAATGTTGGAACGTGCGAAGAGGAGCTTGAAAGGGTCGATCGCGAGCCACGTGGATGGTTCATTGTTCCCCGGCCACTGGATGACCGTGGGAATACCACGCTGCTCGAATTTCCCGTCTGCGTCTGGTCTGAATTTGCGGATTGTGACTGTCCGAACGGGTTCGACATCATGGGTGATCAGGGCAAATTCTCGTCTCGTTGAAGCCGAGACCTGGATGTATGCGTGTGTTTCGGCGGGCATGTCCACTTGTATCTCTTGGACTTTCTTCTCGTTGTCGTTGCCACGCGTAAGCGTAACGAGCAGAATCCCCCCGGTAGCGGCAGGATCCCCAGTCGCTAAAGTCCCCTTGAGTCCAACCGCAAGAAATGTTTCATCTCCTGTCTGTCGAGCGTGGATGACACCAATATACCGGCGTGAAATCGATTGGAAGTCGAGATGCCGACGGAACGTCTCCTCGGGGACAAGCGGGCTGATGACGTCCCTGATTTTGTGCCGATACCTCTGAGAGTCCCGAAGAGTCTCCGTCTCCCGAGTCGCTATACACTTCTGCGAATCCTTCTTGCCATCCCGCCATGAATCGAAGTAGTATATCCGGTGCTCCCCAAACACCAGCGGGATCTGCATCGACTCGCTCGAGCTGTGCTCGTGGTACCAGATCTCCTTGCCGTTCCAGGGATGAAACAGGTGGTCAGTGATGCAATGCCCCGTTGGTGACTGCGTGCGCACCAGGATGTAATCGCCCTCGTCGCTTATCCACAGTCTGACGGGAATACGCTCCTCAACCTCATCCTGGTAATAGCGTGGTCGGAATTCTCGCGCTCGCTGTAACGATCCTTTGTCACCGCGGCTGAGGTCTTTCCAGTAGATTTTTCGATCGACGAACCAGGCTATGCAATTACCTGCCAATGCAACCTGTGCGGAACTGGCCTGGAAAGTACGGACTGCCGTTGGCTTTCCAGAGAGTAAGGCGGCGGTGTCCTTGAAGAGTTTCACTGCTCTACCCTTCTCGTCTGCAATACGCTTGTTCTCGTCCCGACGTTTTCCTTCCGCCGTGCGGTTGTCATTACCTCCATCCTTGTCCTTGACTGGTTCTTGTTCGATTTCAGGCGCATCAGGGAAGTGAAGGTGCAGTCCGACTGCGTGGATCCAGGTCTGAACGAAGTCTCTCCAGGTCTGATTCAGGCGCTCGCAGCGGAGGATGTCGACAATGTCAAGCTGCTGGAGGACCAGGGACATGCAGTCGAATGGGAGACGACGCGCGGGGTCGGTGGTTTTGGTGGTATAGGGGAGCACGAAGTTGCAGTTCGGACATGTGGTGTGGTCGGGTGTGTTGCTGCCAGCAGTCTCAGCATTTGACGGGCGAGACATGCTGTTGAGGTAATAACTTGAGCTTCCAGGTACTGAATCGAAATGGTAGAGCTTGGGGTGGAAGTGTGAGGTTGTGGGAGTGGGTGTTGTGTTGTGTTGCTCTGGGGAGGGAAGACACTTGACCCCCGTACAAACAGGACAAACGCTCTCCGTCAACCCCTCCAGTGTTTGCCCTCTTCCATCCTCTCCTGTTATCATTGCTAACCTGCTTATCTTCATGATCTTATGGTAGTTATCGCGCCATCTTTCAACGCGACTTTGCTATGCCAACGCTCCCCGGAGCAGTCCCCTGGCAACGGCTACTCTTCTACTCATGGACGTATATTTTCAGGAAACAGACGATATGAAAAGAGCGGAAAGAACAAACAAGCCGAGTGAATTTGAAGACAGTATAATGGTTAGAACCCTTTTTCCCGCATTAACCTTGACTGATTAATCAGAGCCCCAGGAACGGCCATCACGCCTCAAACATCTCCCTCGCAGCCGCCATCTCCTCCTCAGACGGCCTATTCACAATCATGAGGTACAGAACATTCTGTAATAACAGTTAGTGGTTTCTCCTGATGTCCGTGGGGGCAATTGGACTTACACTGCTGAGAAACTTCTTCGCACCCCCAACCAGACCGCCGCGACCTCTCTGTCTCGCGCCACGAATCGATTCAAACCCTCTAGATCCTTGAGAATATTCACCGTACGGCGCGGTCTGTGGTTGCGACTGTGTTTGATACTCCTGGTCCACCACAATCCCGCTTTCTTGCTCCGCATAATGCTCTTCATACCGTCGCTCATGACCCCGGTCACGGTCACGGCCACGGCCACGCCCACCGCGACGCGCCGAAGCAACAGCGTGGATAATGCCTCCACCAGGTAAATCCCGCAGTCCGATATTCCCCCCAGGAAGATGCGCAAATCGCCCACCAGCAATACCCCTCCGTCCCTCCGGTGCACGAGGCCTGATCTCAGAACTACTGATGTGCCCGCCGCTCACGAGACTAAGGAGGTCGCCGCTGCTCGCGGGATGAGAAGGGTCCGCGTACCGCGATGTGAAGGTTGGTTTGGGCGCCATGTTGAGGGCGCTTGTGGGATTCTCCATTGTCTACTACGTTGTTAGCATGGCGAGCGGGAAAAGAGCTGGAGGTAAAGTAAGCATACAAATTTCGCCCGTCCCCTCCGATCAAAGTAATCCGCCAGAAACTCCCGCTTCTTCAACTTCTTTATTTCCGTCTCAGACCCCGACGCCGCGACAGCATCAAGGCCCGGGAAGATCAGCGGCGCGGCCTCGGGAAACGGCAACTCATTCTGCGTCCGTCCGTGCGAAGACTTATACTTATGCTTGAGTTTTTTCAGCCTCCCAGCTCCACCACCATCAACAGCCGTTGAAATGGCGGTATTCAGATCGAACTTCCTGATCGTCGCATCAGACTCCGGCTCCCATGTCATGATCAGACAATACAGGCCTCGCGGGCGGAAGAACTCCTCGTTGATTTTGTCGAAGTACGCGTTTGTCTTGCGCCGCCCTTCAACTTGCATTGCGGCCTCTGTGCCGAGCTGAATTAGCGTTGAGACGGCAAACGAAATTGCGCCAGGGAGCCAGAGGGTTCCGATGGACGCGAGGTTCAGCGCGTACAGCCATGGCGTTGCTTGGCAGGCTTTGTTGGACGTCTCGAGGAAGGAGAGGAATGTCTTTTGGTCGATGCCGAAGTCTTGCAGGATTGGGGCGTAGGCGCGGATGAAGCCGCGCTTGTTGCTTTTGGGGCGCCGTTGTGGGAGGATCACGGGGTACGGGAGTTTAGGGGCTGTTGTGGGTGTGTATGAGGGTGGTGGAGGGGGTGTCCAGAGGAGGAGCTCTTCTTCGTTGGCGGTAGGGGATTGTTCATGCGCTGGATCATGGAGCTCGTCCTGTGCTTCGTCAAGCTCCCACTGCTCCTCTAGCTGCTCGACCGCCAGCTGCTGCTCTGTCTCTGCCACGGCGGCGCTCCCTGCCTCGACCCCTGCTTCTCCATCTGCTTCTGGGCGAGGTGAGCTCCCACCTGACGCTCTGGCCTCGACCTCCTTCCTCTCTCGTTTATTCGCTTTGTATGCGGAGACGCTTTCCGAGGCTAGACCAATGCCCGCAGCAACGCCCTTGATGAGCTTCTCGACAACCATCTTAGATGTAAGTACGGAGCAATAAGAACTGAGCTGAAAAACAAAGTAGGGGAACAAATTTGGATTCCGAATTGACCTGCCAGCGAAGGAGGGCGTTTTATATCTCTGTTCAACTCGCTCAGGCCATCCAATCAGCCCGCTCTCATTGGACAGCCATGCCCAGCTGAAGACAATTAAGCCTTGGTAGGGTATATTAGGCAGCCGAATCTCCAGGACGAAGCTTTTTGTGAGGCTTAGCGGCAGCCTGCATTGTCCCATTGGCTCCCTTTGAACTTTGATCAAATTCTGTAGCCTGGGGAGCGAAACGGATACTTTTTGGGGTTAGTCTTGACTCTTTAGAGGCTGAACTCGGGTCCATGGAACAGCTGAGCCACACCGCTAGGGATGCCGGTTGCCGTCTCGGCTCGCTTCCGAGGGACCGAGACCCACTCTTACTTCTTTACAGAACCGTACGATAGACAAACACTAGCGGTATTTGCTCCTGACTAGCGGCATCAAACCCTGCTAGCGGTATTCAACTTCCACTAGCGGTTTTGGACCATGATACCCAACCAGGTTTTACAGCGTACAGTATTTATTTCTAGCGCGCGCAAATCGCAACCGCATCGCGATCGAAAAGGGGCTGATCCCTGCACATCGATCCTACCAAGGTCCAACACCCCTGCGTGTCTTTAATTCTCCGAACTATGCGCATTCCAACAACCACATGGCTTCTCAGCCTAGGCCTTTCGTCACTCGTTTCAGCTTCAATCCCAGCCTCGGTCCAAAATGAGACCGTCACTCGAGGCATCGATCTCTTCGAGATCCATCTCCCCGTGAACTGGAAGACTGCCGTTGCGCAGGATGTGCAGTTTGTGTTTGTCAAGGTACGCCCTCTTCTCCGCTAACATCAATCTTTCCACCGTGATTCTAACCTCGATCCAGGCAACCGAAGGCATAACCTACCACAACCCGCGCTTCAAATCCCAAGTGGCTTCTGCGCGCGCCGTCTCAGCTTCTAGCTCCAACACCACGAGACCAATCCTCCACGGCGCAATCCACTTCGCCCTCGCAGCGCACAGCACGGGCGCCGCACAAGCCGAGCACTTCATCGCGCACGGCGGGAACTGGACGGCCGACGGATCGACCCTCCCCGGCGTTCTCGAGATGGAGGGGAACATCCCGGGAAAACTGTGCCACGGGATGAGCGCCCCGCAGATCACGGACTGGATGATGGACTTTTCGAACCGGTATAAAGGGCTCACTAGTCGACGGCCGATCCTTTTCCTCTCGCCGAGCTGGTGGGAGAAGTGTGCTGGGGGTAATGAGACTTTTGCCGCGGAGCACCCGCTTTGGTTGGCGAATTGGGCGGATGAGATGGGGGGTTTGCCGGCGGGTTGGGAGGGGGCGATGTTCTGGCAGTATTCGGGGAGTGCGGGGGATGGGGTTAGTGGGGAGGGGGATGTTTTCTTTGGTGATGGGGGGGAGTTGGGGAGGTTTGCGAGGGGGGATGTATAGAATCTTGTAAAAATAATCTTTCCATCATGCCCGTGGCTGGTCTGTAAACTTGGTGGAGCAAGCATGTTGTTATACTAAAATTTGGTAGAAATATTGCAGTTCCCTGGTAAAACAGGAGTAAAGAGCGAACCCAGGTATAGTTCTATTATAGTTATACTAGAAACATAGGTAGGGGGTAAAAAATTGCCTAGGCAAGGGTTTTAGGGCTGGTAACATGCAGGATATAAAGCTTAGCTGCATGGTCCTAACTTAGGTTCCACGGATATGTGCTGAGCTTGAACATAAAGCCTAGACAAGGATACATAGCCTAGTACTACCATGGAATGGGAACTGCCTTAAAGGTTCACGCATTTTACACATAAATCGAGCGCATCCTCGCTTGCTCGACGGGCACCACGATGGGTGCGGGAGGGCCGACTGCGGGGTGGTTATAGGTATCCACCGCAAGTACTTATTTAGAGGAGTCAGCTGGTTGCGTGGTTCGTCCTTGGTCTTTCACCGCTCTTATAAACATCGCTTTCATAACAAAGGTGAGGCTCTGTAGTTGTGGATGCACACTAAAATCAATTGAACATGGAGCTGATCCTCTTCTTGTACTCCAACAACAATATATATATACGCGGTTGAAAATTAAGGTCGGACGTCCTTTCTCACTACGTCCCATTTCTGCGCAATCTATGATCCCTATCTTAGCTGACCCTCGCGGGCTATCAAGATACCAACCTGGTTTCATGCATGGTATCACCATGGTAGATTGTGGCAGCAGCAGGGCGCAATCCCAAGGTACTTAATCGGGACACACACTCAGATCCAGGCGGCTTGGCACCTGATCACCTGATCACCACGGGGCCTGGGGCGGGCACCTTCTCGGCTGTTGTTCCCAAGCGCAACACCCTCCGGACCCCGCAGCCTCTCATGATTATCATCGACCACGATTGTCAATTTTTTGAGTACATAAACGGATTCCTCATCCTCTTGCGCTCGATTTTGGCTCCGACGTGACCATCAGGACACGTCTACTCCGTACTCCGTACAGCATATTTTTTTGCCACGCAGCCGCCGGGATGGGTTCTGACAGCTCACATCGGTTGACCAGCAGCCACAGCATTTCATTGGGCACAGTACTGCAGCCAGTCAACATGCGGAGTTTGCTTGATGCACTATTCGGTTGGCGCTTGCGTGGGAGGGTCGCAGGGCGAGATTTCCGATAGTCGCCCATTGCCCCCTCTTGTCATTTTTCTTAAGCTCTCGAGCGGACCCGAGCATTTCATGCCTTTTCCCTCCGTATTATAATATCGTTGGTCGCTTACCTATCGAAAAGCCATGGGATTCCGGGATATTCTATCGAAACTCCTCCATCGGCGCAGGGTGACAGACAAGAACGGGGCTGCTGTGACCTCACAGGACGCGGCTTCGGTGAGCGACAAATCAGACTCAACAACGCTAGACGGATTTGGTGAATTGTCGGCCGAGGTACCTTCGCCCGAAACACTGTGGGATGATGCCTACGATGTCCTCAAAGCCAATGACCCCGAGCTTGTTGATAAATACGAGCGGTTGGTGATTCGCGAGACCGAAGGCGATAGGCGCGATCTCTCAGATCCAGGCTCAACGCAAAAAGGAATTGCTCAGGAGGACCGGGCAAGAAGACGGAAGCAAATGGCCCAGGTTCTCGAGCGCGGCCTACAAAGGATCGATAAGGAAAGCAAAGCGAAGCGACGCGTCGAGGAGACAATGGCGCCAATCTCCAGCCTGGAAGGTACTGTACGGGAAGCTGTTAAGTGGTCGCCGGAGGCGAATCTTGCATGGGCGGGCATCTACTGCATTTTCCAGGTAAGATACGCTGCGCGCATGTAAATTGGGGCCTGGGTCTGACCGAGTGTTTTTGCTTCAGGTACTCTCCAATCCGGTCACAGAGACACGCTCGAATAGAGATGGGCTCGCATACGTTCTATCCAGAATGCGTTGGTACAATGAGTTATCGAGACAAATGTTTAAAGGGCCCATGACAGGGTTGCAAACTGAGCTCAGAACTCGTCTTGTCGACCTCTACCAGGCTATCCTGTCCTTCCAAATGAGAAGCATTTGCTCGTACTACAAGGATAGGAGGGTGGTCTTTCTGCGCGATCTTATCCTGCTGGACAATTGGGCAGACACTCTCAACGCGGTGAAGGATATGGAAGCAGCATTGCAACAAGATGTTAATACTCACCTCAACGATTCAATCATATCCCATCTACACAGCCTAGCGACCACGGCAGAGTCTTTGAACCAGGACCTGATATTTTCCTTCGAGAAAGCTTTGCATGACCAAACCTTAACACTCAGGGAAATGCGATCAGACGACAAGAACAACGAGTGCATTTCTTCATTGCTTTCCGCCAGCCCTCTCATATCCAACCCGTGGCTGGATATGGACACCATCGAGCAACTTAAGGGTGGCTTGTTGGATGAATTGCATGCTTGGATTTTAACGCATCCCGATGTTGAGCGATTACGTACTGCAGACGAGCACCGCTTGCTCTGGATCAAAGGCGGCCCAGGGAAAGGAAAAACAATGCTCCTCATTGGGCTGATGAAACATCTCGAGCGATCAGCGTACGATCAAGCTCTCGCTGTGTTTTTCTGCCAAGATGGTACTACCAAAAACAACGCTGTCGCAGTACTTAGGGGTCTGATCTATTGCCTTGTTAAACAACGGCCTGGGCTCGTCGGTCATATTCGCGAGAAATATGACGACAACAAGGGCATCTTTGAGGACGTCAATGCGCTCTTCGTGCTCCAGAAGGTCCTACAGTCTATGCTATGTGATCCAAAATTGGAACAGGCATACATTGTAATTGATGCTCTGGACGAATGCGAGTCGGACCGGAAGTGGCTTGTCAAGTTTATTGCTACAGCTCTCGAGCTATCACCTAAGGTCAAATGGATTGTTTCTAGTCGAAACGAACCACATATTGAGGACCAGTTGCGTGCATGGAACCTGAATATGCAACTTCACCTTGATCTCTCGGCCAAAGAAGTGGAACATCACGTCACTCAAGGCGTCACGGCATACATCAAGGAGAGGGTGCTGAGCCTTCCGGGGTTGGATAGGGACCTGGACTTGAAAGTCAGAGTGGAGTCGGTCATGCACTCCAGGGCAGAGGGGACTTTCCTTTGGGCACACCTCGCCATTCAAGAGCTTTATAATGTGAGCACTTGGAGTTATCTTTCTGTTCTTGACGAAATGCCGCCAGGACTACACGGAATATTTACGACAATCCTACGCCGCATTCAAAGTTTACCGAGAGAGGACCCGACATTGTGTCGCGAGATACTCTCCGCAGTGGCTCTTTCTTATCGCCCGCTGACTGTCTCTGAGCTGCCCCTTCTTTGCGACCTGCCGGAATCTATCCGGGGGAACCCTGAAAACTTGAAGCGTCTTCTCTCAATGTGCGGCTCACTCCTCCATCTTCAAGGAGATTCTTTACACTTTGTCCATCTCTCGGCAAAGGAATACCTGACCAAAAACGCTAGCAGCACCATCTTCCCCCGGGGCTTACTGGCTGCCCACCACGGCATGTTCTCACGGTCGATCCAAGCAATGGAATCACACAAAGGACTGCGGAAAAACATATATAACTTGCAGAGCTTAGCACCCTTGGGTGGACGGATTATTGCGCCTAGCCCAAATCCTTTGCAGCCACTGCGGTACTCCTGTGTGTACTGGGTTGACCATTTCTGTGATGCTTGCCCTCTTGAAGGACAGACCTCACCGGATCTGAAAGGTGATTGTGACGCGGTGAAAGACTTTCTGAACCAGAAGTTTTTGCATTGGTTTGAGGCTATCAATTTAATCGGAGCTCTTTCCCACGCGTTATCCAGCATGGAGAAAATGCAGGCCCTCCTCCAGGTCAGTTATAACAGTTGATGTTTAGCTTTTGATATCTTGCTAACCTCTCGAAGCGGCTTCAAAAAGAGTCAGCTTTATATGCTCTCGTAAATGACATTCATCGATTTGCCAGGCAGTTTGGGACACTCATCAGGGACGCGCCGCTGCAGCTTTATGTTTCAGCCCGTTTATTCACACCTGCTAAAAGCTTTGCACACCAGCTATTCTCGAATGATTGCGCACCGGATTGGGTATTTTCAAGGTCCCTCGTTAATGATAATTGGAGCCCGCTAATTAAAACTATCGTTCCCCGGTTTATTCGTGGCAAGGAATCTATATCATGCGTGTCCATTTCAGGAAACTCGAAATTTGTGGCTTGCGGAACTTCGGCTGGAGTCGTGCATATCTGGGACACTGGTACAGGCTTGCTCAGATGCCACCCTAGAAGCTACCATCCCGGCTGGGTCAAATGTTTGGCCTTCTCGCAGGACTGCACTCTGTTGGCTTCGGCCTGTAGTCGCAGGACCATGAAGGTTATCGAAACCACAAGTGGATCACTCACACAGGAACTTGAGCTGGACGCAGATCCAATCAAATCTAGCATGTCGGTTTCGAACGACTCAAGTCTACTGGTGTTGGCGGTTGATTCAAACAAGATCATGGTCTATAAGACAGATGAATGGACCCTCGCAGCGAATTTTCCAGGACAGTTTGCAGTCTTCTCTGAGGACTCGAGACATCTGGCAGTAGCATGTTGCGATGAGGATAGCATTGGGATACAAATATGGACAACGAACAACTGGTCCAGAATCCCGACATTCCAGCATAATGTTAAAAGCTCACGAGCGAATTTTGGACCAATGGTATTCTGTCACGGCTCCGACGTATTGGCTGCTACAAACACACATAATGATGAGAGCCTCGAACTCTGGAGATTGACCGAGGGACTTCAGTCTCGATGGGTACTCGGACGTGAATCAGATTATCACTGGCTGAAGAGCCAGATATGCCTTTCACCCGACGGTGGAATTTTAGCGTGTGGATTGCGCAACGGCCGCATTGAGATTTGGGAACTGCCATCAGGGGAGCTCAAACACGTTCTCCAAGGACATAGACTATCCATTGATTCTCTCTCATTCTCCAAATTCGGTCTCCTGGTGTCGACGTCCAGCGATAAAACCGTCAGGATTTGGGATACCTCAATATCAACTCGCGACAAGCTTGAGGACGACCGGTGTGGCAGCCTTCTATTGCTGTCGCCTAACAACAAGCTCCTTGCAGCGGCTCATGGATTTGGAACGGTCTGGATCTTGGACGCCGTAGACGGCAGTCTGAAGGAAACACTCCCCAATCTCGATGTTCAAGGTGCGGCGTTCTCACCCGACTCGACACTCTTTGCTGTCATAACCTCAGATGGATATCTCTACATCTACGATACCAGGACATGGTCCTATGAGAAAGTCGAAGCTACCGATCTCTCGAGGATCCCCGCGGATTGCACCCTTGTCTTCTCCCGTGACTCCCGTCTCCTGGCTACTGCCGGTACGGGCCTCGAATCGAGAATATGGGATGTCAGAACCGGGGTTCTGAAGCACGATACGCAACTCCAAGCCCACGCTGCCACTTTCTCATCCGATGGACAGCTCCTCGCCCTAACGGATGAGGAGAACCTGCACTTGTTAAACATGGCCGACTCCGAGCCCCTCAATACCCGAAAGACAACAAAATGCATGGGCGACAAACGGGCAACGGCCCTTGCGTTGTCCCAGGGCGCAAGATTCCTGGCGCTGTCAGTGGAAGGGCCAGCATTTGGGTCAACAGATTCTCACATCTTTATCTGGGATATACCCGGCGAGCGTGCGGTGCTCGGATTCCGTGCTCTTGGTATCGTCGATGCCATGGCCTTCGACACTGACAATGCCTACCTGCAGACTAACGTGGGCCGCTTCACGTTAGACTTGAATCTAAACCTGGATGTGGATGTGGATGTGGATGAGGACATGCCCCCGCGCGCTATTTCAACTTCCGCCCCTTGCAACGGGCCCCTGGTTCGGTACATAGGATACGCCTTCAGCGCGGACTTGAATTGGATTGAGTGGGAGGGCGAGAAAGTGGTCTGGATCCCGCCGGAGTATAGACTCACCCGTAAAAAGATTTTCACCGTTGGGCAGGATGAGCAATCTGTTATTTTTGCGTTTCAAGGACAGGTGGAGGGTGTTTTGGTGCTCAGGCTTGCTGCTTCTGGGGTGGGGACTGGTGGTGGCTTGTTATGAGGGTCCGGACTTCTTGCAGTGTACTTCGTACCTTGTAGACTACGCATTATCTGAGCCTGGTGTTTCGCTTTCTAGCTCTCTGGGCTCCTGGGCTACATAGGACAGTACCATGCTGAGTACTATTCATTCCCGCAGGCCTTTTTTTGTGGAGCTTAGGGTTCTCTCTGTGGCTACATCGGTGCCTGGCCAGCCCTCGTGCCTTTCTAGTCTCCTACCTGACATGGTCAAGCAGTTCGTGGTTCGTGATCTG